ATTGAAGGCATGAGCCACTGTACTCGGCCTCCTTTACCTTGTATTTGAAGTTCTTTCTTTTTCCACATGTTCTTTCTCCAGTTCCTTTAGTGCAGTTTCTTTCCTTTGCTCTTCAAACTCCTTTTGCCCTGAGAGAATCTTTTTTCCCTTTTGCAGTTTGTTGATCCAATAGATGCATACAGCAATGGATATCATCAGAATAACCACGATAATAGGCAGGATCACCACACAGGGAGACCCGCTGGGCATAACGGATTCTCAAAAGGCAGCCAGAAATACCCACTTATTTTGAAACAGAACATCCAGGTGAGAGCGCCCCTAGCAGCACATCTCTAGAGCTCCTTAGCCACCTGCTCTGTTAGTTTCTCCCTCAGAAAACTTGGATGGACAAAGTGATGCTGGCTCAGCCCTGGCTGACACCTCAGTGGCTCCCAGGGCCAAGGCCCAGAGGTAGCAAAGCAGAAACATCTGGAGTCACTGTGGGAAGAACCAGGGTGCATAAAGCTAACCTGCCATGCTGAATCAACACAGCCACCACCCTGCCTCAAGCCACCATCACTCACACCTTGAATACTCCAGTGCCCTCCTTCTTGTTCTGCCCTTACCATCAGTAGTCCATTCTCAGCAGACCAACCCAAGTGAGATCATGTTAATTTTTAGCTCAAAACCTTCCAATACTTTCCATGTCGCTCGCTCTAAAAACCACAGGATGTTTGTGACTTGCAATGCCATATAGAATGTGTTTTCTTTGCCTCTGTGAATTCATCTCCTCTCACTTCCTGCACTCACTCCATTTCAGCCACAGCAGCATCACCTCCTGAGGGTCCTGGAAACTGCCAGAGATATTCCTTCCCTAGGTCCTTTGCATATTCTTTGCCTGTTGCTGGGTTGCTCCATCCTCAAGCATCTGATGGTTCCTTGCCATCAGATGGGATGACTCAATTCCCATCTTTACAATGAAGTCTTCCCTGACCATTCTGTTAATAATTGCAATGTCTCATACCCCTACCTCTCTTTATTCCCTCCTTGCTTAATGTTTCCTATAGATATTCATCACCGTCTGATAGAATATATGGTTAATTATTTAATCACTTTTTGAAGGAAGAGATCTTGATATATTTTGCTCAATGGTTTACCCCGGGTTTCTAGAACACTGTCTTGAACATACAATATGCTTCTTGAGCATTTGTTGAATGAATTATTAGTGTGTATCAATAAGGATTTTCCCCAGCTCTGTCTCTTGGAAAATCCCCTGGGCAGGAAGGGGTTCCTCCACATTGTGAGGGGCCTTGGGTACCACCCTCCACATATGCACTCGAGCCAGATGCCCCCACCCTCATTGCCCCTCATTTCAGCGGGGGGATCAGAGCCCAGTCCAGGGGAGAGATATCAGGGCTCAGCTAAAAAGCAGTGATGTCTCAGTGCCTATTGCATCTCTTCTGTGAAGAAAGAAAGTAAAGGAAAAAAAGGAGGTAGGAAGCAAGAGATTGAAAAGAGGAAAAAAAGGATGAGGGTAAGGAAGAAAGAACCTTGATGTTAGAGAACACCAGGAGACCAATGGGCCACGTAAACTGTGAGCTCTCTAAGAGAAAAGGATCCCACTGCGCCCTTTTCTTTGTGGTCTACCTACAGGCCCCATCCCAGCACCAAGCATCTATCTGTCTGCTATAAATGCTTGTTCAATTTATCCTGCCAGACTTATTTTCTCACTTCAAGGTGGGTGTTTCAACTCCAACTTCAAACAGGAAGGTTTTGGATTTCACTTTCTGCCTCTGAAACTTCTTAGTAGACCTCAGCTTCCAGAAACTCTAGAATGATAATGAGGAGGACAGAAATCTGTCAGGCGGGCAGAATGCTAAGAAATCTTTTGACCTAAAGACACTGACCCTTCTGTCTAGTTTAGGGCTTCACATAACCATGGCTCTCTAACACCCATAGGAGGTGATGGTTTTTAGGAGACTTGACATGGTAGCCTGCAAAGCCAACTCTAATCCTAATTCACACTATTTACCTCTCAGAGGCTCCATCTGTTAGGCAATGGCTCTTTTGTTTTTCTTTTTAATTTTATTTATATATATTTTTAGAGACAGGATTTTAGCTCTGTTGTCCAGGCTGGAGTGCAGTGATTTTAGCCTGGTGAAACTCCTGTTGGACTTCTGACCTACAAAACTGTGAGATAAATTTGTCTTGCTTTAAGTCAATGAATTTGTGGTAATTCAGATGGCTGCAGTAGAAAAATGGATACAATAAGGGTGTTGGGCAAAAGTTGCAATAAGGTAAACTGAATCTGTGGTGAGTACAATGGGTATGTAGACTACTCTGCTGTGCTGAGTAGACTTATTAGAGTACAGAAAAAGCCAAGTTGAAGAGTAAGCATTATTAACAAATTTATTGAACAACCAAGACTTGACAAGCACATGCCAAGAAGAGGGGATACAATGGTGAGCAACAATAGTAATGATAATGAGGAGTAGTTTTCCCAAGCAGGCATCAGTTGAAAGGAATATGGGTTTAACATCCACTAATGAACAGGGGTGGATAGACCCCTTTCCAGCAGACTGAATCCATAGAGGGATTAAAAATATCCCTGTAATTCTTCCAGCTTCCTTCATCCAAATTTCTTATATCACAGAGTATTTGTTCTACCTGGAAACCTTGACTATAGGAAGGCTGGCTCTGGCTCCACGATCACTTATCACATTTGTTGGGGGTACATATCTGTCTCATGCCCCTACCTCTCTTTTCCTTCCTTGCTTAATGTTTCCTACAGATATTCATCACCACCTGATAGAATATATGGTTAATTATTTAACCACTTTTTGAGAGAAGAGATCTTAATATAGTTTGCTCAATGATTTACCCTTGGTTTCTAGAACAGTGTCTTGAACATACAATATGATTCTCGAGCATTTGTTGAATGAATTATGGGTGTGTATCAATAAGGATTTTCCCCAGCTCTGTCCCTTGGAAAATCCCCTAGGCAGGAAGGAGTCCCTCCTGCCAAGGGGGCAGAAGCCTAAGAAACCTTTTGACCTAAAGATATTGACCCTTCTTTCTAGTTTAGGTCTTCCATAACCACCACTCTCTACCACCCATAGGAGGTGATGGTTTTTAGGAGACTTGACATGCTAGCCTTCAAAGCCAACTCAAATCCTAATTCACACTGTTTAACAGAGGCTCTGTTACCTACCAGGGCTTCATTATACATTGAGTGTGGCCTTTAGTTTCTTTCCCAGTTACATGTTATGTGGCCTTTAGTCTCTTTCCCAGTTACACGTCACGTGGGTACTGTGAGGTTATTCTCTCAACCAAGACACTCTGCAGAGCTAATCCAAGGAGTGCTGGGTCTATTGCTCTGACAATCAGCTGCAAAGGAGTCAAAAGGAGTGCCAACTCCACAACCACCTACAATGATCCTTACCCTGGAGCTGTCCTGGGAAAAGAACCTCAGGGCTACAGGTGGGCTTTTCCCATGGGGGAAGAATCAGGGTGGAAAAGAATGGGCAAATGGCCAGAGACTGAAGCTGACCATCTCCCAACAGCACAAATTACCGTAGGAGTTATGTAAGTTACTTAATGTTGCCCTGCCTCAGCTTCCATACTTGCAAAATGAGACTACCCGACAGGGTGTTGTGAGGATTAAAGGAGTGACATCCACCAAAGCTCATAACACAGCACTCAGAACATTTTAAATTCTCCATTAATGTTAGTTATTGCTGTTTAGATCCCAGCTCTGTTGTTTACTAGTCATGCCAAATTTGGAAAGTTAATTCACTTTTCTGTACCCCAGTTTCCGTATCTGCATAAAGGGGACAATAAAGTGGTATGAAACTCTAAGATTTGGTATACAGAATAAAATAGAATGAATATTAGTAGCGTTCTTCAGTGTGTGCCTGTAGCTTTATGGTTGTGATTGGTTGCTGTGGAGAAGGAGACCCTCAGATTCAGGCTGGGCAGAGAGAAGTAGAGACATTATTTCAGCCTGAGGCTTCCCACTTTCATTAGCTAAGCTTGGGCCACTGGTGTCTCCAGGGAATGATCAGGCACTAGGTCAGGAATGAGGGAACTCTCTACTTCTTTTGGTGCTGGGCAAAGGTCAGGGCAGTGGGTTCCTAGGTCAAAATTCTGAAAATGGTATACGGAGGCCCAGAAAAGGAGATATCCAGGAAATTGTGAATATGCGACCCATCCGTAGCATTGCAGAATGACATATCTCCAGTCTCATAGACCAGGAAGATTCCCGATTTCCTAGGGGCTCAGGAAGTGTCAGGTTGGTTCTGAGCTTAGTGAGAATCTGATACTTATTCCCACCAGTCAGTCCCATAGTCCAGAATCCGTTCTCAGGTGTCATTTTGACCCAACCTTTTCTCTGCACATTCTTACTACACACCCCTATATGCCACTCTTTCCTGTCCCCTACCTCCACCTCCCAGTAATGTCTCCCTGACATGAAGCTCTCACAGCCGAGAACACAATAATGCCAATCAAATCTCTCAGGGTTGTCTGGCAGATCCTGGGGCTCCTTGGCACGCTGCACACTCCTCTGGTCCTCAGAAACAAGGAGGATGGGGTTTGCTGTTTTGGGATCCAGAATCACATCCGCTGTAGAGAATTTGAGGAAGTGTCCATGGGGTCGAGCATTTTTCCTGGATTTCAGAGCCTCAGCATCCAAGGCCTGGGCTGTGCTGAGGAGACCTGAGTCCAGAGCCCGGCGTCCCTAGCCTTCCCTAAATGTGACTCTCTCATTGATGCCAGGAGAGAAAGCCCCAGGTATCTTGTGTCCAGAGGGGAAGAGGAGGGTGAAATGAGAGTTGCCTCAGCATCTGCCTAACCCAACACCCTGATGCTGCCTCAGGAAGCAGCAAGCATCCTCTTTCTACCTTTTTCTTGTTTTCCTCCCCACATTGACTCTGCCCACTAATGCTTTATGATCAGAGGTTAATTTTCAACCTTCACTCGACCACTCATGAGCTAAATGTGTTCCCCTTTTCTGCAGTTTATTTTTCCATACATCCAGTTTGTTTAACAAGGTGGAGCCTCATCTGAAGCATTTCCTCACCTGAAAAATCAGATTAAAACATGAATCTCTAGCGTTGTAAAAGGCAATGATGTTATGTACTCAGCCTACAGCAGGGCATGAAGGAAGCTTCTGATCTTCTAATAGCTGCAAGGCCGTCTCTGTGCTGGGCTCTATGTGAGGCCTTATATGCCCCAGGTTCACTCTCTACCCTTCAGCTTTCTTCACCTTCTTCTGGGCCCCAGGAATCTGTCCTTTAAGAACAATGCCACTGGGCTCCCTTGTCCTCTGGTTTGCTGTTGGGTTTGGCCAGTGGGAAGCCCTGATAGAAGATTGGAAGGAGAAAGAAAGGAAAGACACACCGTTTAATTTCCTGCCACCTCCCTGCTAGCAGCAGCTGGTGCTGCTCTAACAAGGCCTGTCGACTCTCTCAAGAAACCCTGTCTTTGAGCTACTTTTCTCTGGGTTCCAGTAACTGCCTCCCCTCCCTAGCCCTCGCAGGCTAGGGGTAGAGACAGCTCCCCACTGTTGGGAATCATGGGGGCACTGCACTTTTCCTTGTTGCTTTCTCTTAACCCTCCTTTCTGGAAACCTTGTTCAACCACCCAGTTTGAACTTGCCATCTATTTCTTGCTAGGTTCCTGCCAAGCAAGTTCATTATTCCCTCAGTCTTCACCTCAGCCCCCATGAAACACAGATTGCAATCATCATCTAAAAATGTGGAGGCCAAAGCTTGGAAGCATTAAATCCTTTGAGGAGACACAGGCAGTAGGTGGTATGGGAAGCCTAAGAAGGACAAAGTTCTTTGGGCAGGCATCGCCTTCTCTGTTTGGCATTTCCATCCTCACTCTCCATGCAGTATCACTCAGTGTGTGTCTCCTTCCCCTCAGCTCCACCCTTTATGTGTCTTCCTACCCACAAAGGATGTCAAGGGAACTTTTCTTCCCCAAATCACAATAGTTGGAGAAGAAAAAAGGAAAAAGGAATATGGTCCCTCAGGTTGTTGGTGCAGGGAACATACAGTGATTTACTCACCAGGCTTGAAGAGGGCCATTTTCCATTCTGAAAGGAAGGAGATACAGATAAGAAAAAGGTCAGTATTCTTGTACTTTTCCCCACTGCATTCTCTCCTCACTACATGTTTTCTCTCTTTTTCTTCAGAGTATCTTCCAGGGTCCAGCTTCCCTCCTCTACAGCTCTGATGGATCGGGGTGGCACCTTCTCAAAAATGTCAGGCTAGGCTCCCTGTGTCATGGGATGTGCAGGATGCATGACCAGGCTTTGCAAGTGAGTGTGCTGGATCAGGAGTTTCCCAGAGGCTCCAGAAAAGCAGAGGTGAACCCCCATCACACAGAAATTGAGTATTTGGATTAGATCTAATTAATCCAGCTGAGAACTTCCACGGGTCACAGCAGAGAAAAGGTTGAAATATTCAGGGCACGTGACCCAGCAAACTTACAGAGCATCAGGCTGACTTATCAGTTTCAGACGAAGACTCCTTTCCACCTACAATGAAAGAAAGGTAGAGGTGTCACCTGAACTCTGTCTTTTCTGTGTTGGCCCTGTCCTCTTCTTTTTGCGTCCATCTAGTCTTTTTTTTTTGACCATCCCACCCTTCTGCATGGTCTCCATCTGCAGGTACAATTCTTTCTTCACCTCTTCTTCTTAATATCAAGTCTGGGAACATCGACTGAATGCTAGTGGCAGGGCAGGCACTGTGAGAGTTCCTTCCCAATGGGGTCCAGTTCATCTGTTTTGAATCTGTACCTGGGCATAAGTGTCACCATGTCTATATGCAAATGTCTAGGAGTACAAGATCCATCCTTCTCAATCTGTATCATGTCTTACCTTGCTCTAAAAAGAATTTGGGAAATTTAAAGAGCAATTTCAGGGACTAGTTTTTGAAAGCAATTATGATCAATCTGTACCAATTGAGCCACTGTGGCTACTCCTCTCTATTAGACATACTTTTCTCCCGCTCTCTCTTCTGATTTTCTTATTTCTTAAATCTTTCATTCTTGTTTTCCTTTCAACAGCCTCTGGATTGTGGAAAACAAAATGCACCTTATTCTTCTCTTTCCTCTTCCTTTTGAGGTGTAACCCTGGATATTCTTCAGTGCTTCTTAGAGCTTAAGGGTCTGTAGCCCCTAGTACAAAGAGATTGAAGACCTTTTTTTTTTTTTTTTTTTCTAGAGAGAAAAACCACTGGGTGGTTTCTCCAAAGAGCCACACTTGTTTTCTTTTTCTGGGTAAAGGGATCCAAGATCACTTTTCAACCCTGGGATATGACTTATGGGCTGGAAAATAATGAAGCAGAGAGAGAGTAATAGATTTGAATTCAGAGAAAATGTCAGAGCCACTCACGAGTCAAGTACTGGATTTTTCTCCTCTCTGCAATGGAATGAACAGGGAAGAGTCATCAAGGTGCTCAAAGCCGGGATAGGAAGACATGCCCGGGTCTCTGGGGGAATGGGAAAACTTACTGAGTTCCTCCTGGAGGCTCTCTGGAAAATAACCAAAAACAAAAAACAAAAACAAAACAAAAAAAAGATGAACTGTTATGGGTGAGGTGGGTATTTCGGGAAATAAACCTTAAACATGATGCGGTGCCAGGGTGGGGGAAAGAGGTGAGGTTTTCAGGCTGGGGCACGCAAGCCTGGGGCTTAGATTCTCTGCTCTTGTTGGATACCTCTTAGGCTTATTTCCTGCTTTGTTGCAGCATATCCCCGTTCTTTCATCTCTTGCTCACTTTCTATCTCACTGGATAAAGCAGTTATTTCCTTATGTTGTCTCCACAAGAAGTAACTGGCTCCACCGAGAAGCAGCAGCAAGATAGGCAGGGTCCCTGCCAAGGCTGCGATCAAGGGCTGGGCACTCCTGAAGAAGGGGTCTGCGAATGGGGAGAGCTGTGGGTCATGGGCGCTGGTGCACTCAGCCTCCCCAGCCTCAGTGCCCCAAGTTTTAGCTGCTCAGCCCAGGTTGGGGGCAGGGAAGCTATCTCATGAGGTTAAATAAGGATTCTCTCCCTAAAGTCTCAGAGGACTATAGATAAGACTTTGGTAAATCCTCACTACAAGCTTCTACTATTACTTATCTTGAGATGTCTGCCTCTCGCATGGAAAGTAACTTGAGCAGAGTCATACACATTTTTTTCTAAATATTTTTTCAATAGGTAACACATTTACATGGTTCAAAACTACATATACATAAAGGCATGCAACTCTCTCATCCACCCAGTCCTCCCTCCCTCCATGTATTAACTTCTCCTTAGTCCACTTAATATGGTGCTTAGGAACATAACCTGTGGAGTCAGAGGGCATGGGTTTAAATGCTGGCTCCCCCGTGTGACTAGCAGTGTGATGTTGGACTACTACATAACCTCTCTGTTTGTAGTGGCCTAATCTATAAAATGAGGGTAATGATAATACCTATCTCCTGAGGTTAGAATAATTAAATTAATACTTATAAAGTGTCTGATGTACAGTGAGTGTTACAAAATTGCTTGTTGAAGTTTAAAAATGTAAACTAAATAACCCAATCGAGAGCTAAAAAAAAGTAAATTAAAGTATATTCTTATTTTTCCTCTTGTTTAAACTAAAAATAGCATTCTATACACGTCCCTCTGCATCTTGCTTTTTCTGTGAAAAATGTACCTTGGAGATCTTTCCATATTGTTATGAGAGAATTGCTTCTTTTTCCTTTTACTAACTGGGCAGTATTCCCTTGTATGGAAGTTCCCTGGCAGTGAACATCTGCACAGTTTCTAACCTTGTGCAATCGTAATCAGTACTATAAGAAATCTTTTACAGGCCGGTTGCAGTGACTCATGCCCGTAATCCCAGCACTTTGGGAGGCTGAGGCGGGTGGATCGCTTGAGGTCAGGAGTTCGAGACCAGCCTGGCCAACATGGTAAAACCCCATCTCTACTAAAAATACAAAAATTGGCTGGATGTGGTGGCACACGCATGTAATCTCAGCTACTCGGTAGGCTGAGGCAGGAGGATCACATGAACCCAGGAGGCGGAATCTGCAGTGAGCCGAGATTGTAACACTGTACTCCAGCCTGGGTGACAGAGTGAGACTCCGTCTAAAAAAAAAAAACACACACAACAAAAAACAGAAACCTTTTGCATAGATCATCTCATACAAATGCAAGCTTATCTATCAGATAAATTCCTAGAAGTGGAAGTTTGGATCGATAAGTATGTAGTTTGGATAGATATTGCTATAGAGCCCTCAATAGAGGTTGACCTAATGCACACCAAAAATACAGCAAGTTACACGAAAAAATGACTGAGAGTCACTGCCTTCCTACATTCCTATGAGAACCATGTATTATAAGCCAAAGCAGTTTCGTTTTGATTTTTGTAAATATCGTAAGTGAAAAATGATTTCAAATGTTTCCCTAATGAATGAGAATGAGCACTCTTTTGTGGGTTATTTCCTTTTCTATGAATTGATAATTCATGAACTTTGTTAAAAATTTTTTTACTAGATTTTTATTTTATTTTATTTTATTTTATTTTATTTATTTTTTGAGACAGGGTCTCACTCTGTCATCCAGGCTGAAGTGCGGTGGTCTGCTCTCAGCTCACTGCAACATCTGCCTCCTGGGTTCAAGTGATTCTCATGCCTCAGCCTCCTGAGTAGCTGGGATTAGAGGTGCACACCACCACACCTGGCTAATTTTTTGAATTTTTAGAAGAGATGGAGTTTCACCATGGCCAGGCAGGTCTCAAACTCCTGGCCTCAATGATCTGCCTGCCTCAGCCTCCCACAGTGCTGGGATTACAGGCATGAGCCACCATGCCTGGCCAAAACTTTTTACTAGGTTTTTAGAATCTCCTTCTTATTCAAGGAGATCAGCTGTTTCACTATGATAAGAGTTTGTGTGTGTGTGTGTGTGTGTGTATATATATGTATGTATGCATGTGTGTGTGTGTGTATATATATATGTATGTATGCGCGTGTGTGTGTGTGTGTGTGTGTGTGTATATAGATACCATTTTGTCATTTGACGTTATATAAGGAGCTTATCTGAATGTTTTTCCCCCAATTCCCATTGCCTGTCATACTTTCTGGCAGATAGGAAATGTTCAGAAAATGTTTGTGTTGTGAACACCTTTATGGAGGAAAGAAGCTCCCCTGGAACAAGGCGGCGCCTCCAGATCTGTGCTTTGGGCCTTATATTCAGTGCAGAGACCCAGGTCGACCACAGATACTAACACATCCCCCTTCATTCAACTGCCACAGCTCAGCTCAGAAACCTGACGCCAAGCACGTACTGACCTGCGATAGAAATGCAGGCTGTCTTTTCCAGGCGAAGAACAGAATTTCTGATGATGCAGGACACACTCTCCCCAGAGCCGCCTCTCATGATCACAGATGCTGCTACTGCATATAGGCCCACTCCATCTGCAACCACAGGTGCTTCCACAGCTGGGATGTTCTGTCCCTTGTCGTTGCTCCACTGTATTTTGGGTTGGGGATACCAGCCAGTGGACCTGCACTCCAGATGGATCCCTCCATCCTCATAACCCTTCACTTCAACATGAAGATTAGAACCCAGTGCTGTGGAAGGATAATTTGGCCTAGATTCTTGAGAGCTCTTGCATTAAGGAGGGTCTTAATGGGAATCAATGGCAGTCTCAGATTTGATAATTCAAGAGAGATTTCATTCAGGAGCTGTTTACAAAAGTGTGGTCATGATGAGGGGAAAACTAAATTTGCTAGTGCAGTATCCCAGGGTCAGTAATGTGTGGCTATTCCCACCCACACCAATTACCAGAGGGAGGAGGAGAGGAAGCTGTTTTGAATACGTAAAAGAAGAGATTCATGCACTGAGGACTTCCTTTAGAGGAGCTATTACTTTCAGCAAGGCAATGCAGCCAGCCTGAAGGTACCTTGCAGCAAGGAAGCCAGGGAATAAGCACCCAGACTTCTTCCTCTTCTCTTCCTACGATTGTCTGCTGCAGATTCCCTTAAACCAAACCCAACCAGAAGCCACAGGGCAAGGGACTGCACTGAGAAAGAGAAAAGCTGTTCCAACATAGGGAAACTGACACTGGGTCTCCGTGTCATCCTGTTGAACATAAGCAATTTCACAGAACACAGACAATGCATCTTGTGACTATGATGGATCATGGGAAAAACAAGACCACCCCACATCATGTGTGAGCATAGAGAAAAACATGAACACTGTGCAAACCACAGCAATGACCAAACATCCTCCATCAACAATCAGGGATTGCAGCCCTTCATCAATTACAGCTTTAGTCTCACCCTGGTCTCCTTCTTCCTACATAAGATTGATTAAGGTTGGAGACACTACAGAAGCCGTCTGTTACACAACTAAACCAAAATGATGGTGTACCAGTCACTGAAGAAATGGTTTCTAATGTTTCCTATCCCTTGTCCTTCACTTTCCTTATGTTTCTGGTCGCCAGAGGAAAGGAGTTCTTTACTTGAGCATGTAGGGTACAGCAAGAATTCTTCCTAAAGGAAAACCTGTGTCTTTCTCAAGGGTCGCAGAAAAGCTAAGCTGGAAGGCAGTGCAGGCAATCGCTAGTGATCAGCCAGGAGTGTCTGCAGTGCTTTTGAAAGAGGAACTGAAACTCTGCATCTGCTCTAGATCCTACAGAGAAATGTTCTCAGAACCAAACCTGGAGGCTCACCTGCAACCTTCAGCTCCACCAGGGCTTTTTCATAGAAGTCGCCATCTTGGAAATAACACAAGTACTTTCCACTGTCAGAGGCTGTGACGTTGTGTATTCGGAGAGCAGCCTTCCCTGCAGCGATGTCATCCCGTAGAATCGAAGTTCTCCCTCGATATGGTGCACTCTGCCTGTCTTCCACTTCCTTTCCATCTGCATACACATTCACCACCTGCCTTAGGCTGGAACTCACCCACCTCAGCTCCATGGTCTCTGCACTCATGGTTGGGAACAGGTGACAGGGCAGATCAGCGTCTTCACCCACCGTGGCCAGGATGGGCCCAGAGGGTCCAAGCACAGAAAACTGAGCTGTCGGCACAAGGGGGAGGCTCCAGAAGAGGGTTTTGGATTTGGGGTCATGAGAGGAAGGGTGCTTCTCAGACAGGGAAGGCTAGATACAGAGAACCTAGAGGGGAAACCATTCCTAACAGAAGCACCATTTGTCTCTTAGTGACACATGATCCTTCAGGTTGGGATGGACTTCAGGTATAGGAAGGAGTTAAAGGTTCTAAGAGGGCATTTAGGTAATTGTCTGCTTAATTATATAACTGAGGTAATCATCTACTTCATAAACATAAATGTGGAATCATGGAATCGTTCCCTACCTGAGCAAGGAGTGAGCAGCTGGACCAAGAAGAGGGAGACATGAAAGTTGAGCAGAAGGAAGGCCAGGGAACTTGCCATTTTCATCTATGCTGCATATCAAGAGACACCAGAAGGTGTGAGACAGACACTGTGGCCTGGAAGAAGCTATAGGATTCTGCGTGGAAACGTCCACTTCCCCAGGGCTAACTCAAGTATGGTAAGCAAAGAAGATCTTACCTCTGCCAAAAATGTCTGTCCTTGAATGTCTTTACCTTTGAGTTCCAGTATGGAAAACCATCTGTAAAAGCAATATCTGTTATCTGATCAGGAAATCTCTGACTCTACTGCATTAAAATATTCAGAATCCTATCACTTCCCCACACTTCCCTTGCTAGGTCCAAGCTTCCATCATTCCCCTCTGATTTATGAAGGACCCTCTTCACTGGATTCCCTGGTTCCACCTTTGTTCAACTCTATGGGTGTCCAACACTGTGGACTCCTCAAGGGTCAAACTCTTGGCCATTATCATGGTCAACTCATGGCCTGGTGGCTCCTGGTGGGATCCAGGCAGATTGCCTGGTGGAGGCTCTGAAGTCATTCAGGGGCTGAACCCACCACAGTTAATCACAAAGACATTGATTGGGAGAGCTTTGAATAGGACCAGACCTTACTCATCTTTTCCTTCTTCCCTTCATAAAGTTATTCAACAAATATTTACTGAGCACCCACAATGGGCTGGACCACTATGGTAGAGTTAGGGACACAAAGAGGGTAGACAATAGGTAAAGGCTCTAGAAGTCACAAGCTTGATGATCTTGGTCATGGGACAAAACCATTTAAACTGTAGTTACTCAAAAATATCAAGTATGAGACTTAGAATGTGCACAATTGACCCAAAAATTCCACTTCCTGATGCCTACTGCAGCAAAGTACTTGCATGGGTGCAGAGAGAAGCCTCTGCGAGAATGACGCTGCAGCACTATTTTTAAAGTATGAAAGTGGTTACCAACTGAACCAGTCACCCACAAGAGACTGGTTAGAGGAATCCCTATGATACAGATGTATGATACATCTGCCTGTCTTCCACATATCATAGGGATATGATACATCCCTATGAGGAAATTCAATGCAGCAGTTAAAAAGAGTGATTTAATGTCACTAGCCTGGACAATGGAGATATACTAAGTGATCAAAAAGTACCTTGTAGAACTATACTAATGATTCAATTGAAAAACAAAAGCAAAGCTATATATTTCTGCAAAACTATATATGTAAATGCCTGAAAAAGCCTAAAAAGAGGAATGCTAAACTGAAGATTGGAAGTTAAGTGAGTGAAAGGACACTTTGGCCTTTTGCTTCCTTTACTTTTAAAATTGTTGGAATGCTTTAAATTTAAAATTTTCATGTATTAGTTAATAATTAATTATTATGAGGAATAATAGAGACTGGAACATATTAGTTGCTCAGTAAATACTACTCCTCAACAGTTTCTCCCAAAACAAAGGAGCATGAGGCCTGTAGCCATAATACCAGCTGCTGTGGGTCTGGGAATGGCCTCTGAGAACAAGATCTGCAGAGGCAGGTGGGGACAGATGCAGAGGAAGCAAGGGAACAGAGGTCTGTGCAGCTGGTCATGCTCCACCCCTGCCTGGATCTTACACCCACTATCAGACTAAACATTATATTTCACTACATCTTCTGCTTCTCAAAACTGCTCTTTATGCTCCTAAAGAAAAGGAGGTATTATTATTATTAGTCCCTAAGCTAAAAATTTATCTGCTGTCCTCAGAGGGAGAACTTTTAATTTTAGGTTGTTTATTATTCATTCTTTCTACTATAGACAATTTTGACAATGAAAAAAATATAAAAGGAATAAAACCTTAAATACTCTGTAGTTATAATCACATACTTTGCTAATGGAAGTGGAAATGTTTCTGGAAGCATTTGGCCATATATACATGGCAAGGGCTTTTAAAATGTTGCATCTTTTGCCCTCAAAATTCCAATTATAAAAGTTAGCATTGAAGAAAAACATTTAGAGATTGATGCAAATATTTAAGGTTAAGGCTGTTCAATCTAGTAAAATCTACAGTAACAAAATGCAGAAACTCAAAAATCCAAAATAAAGAAAGAGTTTAAAAAACAACTGGGGTTTTTGTTTGTTTGTTTGTTCTTTTTCTTCTTTAGGAGCAGCTTTCTGAGTCAGAGTAGGCTCAGAGAGACTCTCAATTATTATATATTCATACAATGTAGTAGCTTGTATGGGAAAGCATACTTTAGGTTTTGGGGAAATGATGAATGGAAAGAAAACCAAGTACTATCCCTAAAAGATACCAAAAATGGTTTAATATAAGGATCCAGTGTTATTAAAATTATAAAGAATTTCACTTAATTAAAATTATGATTCCTAATGGTTACATGGAACATATTTTATGACTGAACCATGCATTGTCTATTCCCCACCTGTTGTATATGAATGTTGGTTCAGATTTAACTATATTATAAATACTTCTGTAATAAACACATTTACATGTAAATCT